TGGACATAAAATGGTATGTTTGGACCACAAAGGTGATTTACTAAGAGCTGTTAGCTGGGGGGAAAGGATGTGGTGTGGAGGAGGAGGTCGGGAGAGCGGTGCAGCAGCGAGCAGCGAGCACGGTGGACGCTCTGCCATGGTTTAAGGCTGCATGTCAGTCAATGGTGTTGGGAATCTTGTCAAAATGTCAAAACACCTTCAGATTCTGATCAACCATCTGGAAAATATCAGATTGGCAGTGACGTACTTGTTATCTAAAACATGCTGCCAATGCAGTAAAAGCATACAAGCATAGAACAGCACAATGGCCGCCCCAGAGCCTCAAACAAAAGGCATCTTCCAAAGAATAGCTTCAAATGACCTTCAAAGTCTGGTGAACTATTCCTGAAGACCCTTCAAAGGAATGACAAGCAAGCTTCTCTAAGAGAGTTCAGGCTGTGCTGAAGAATAAAGGTGGTCATACCAAATAATTGACTTACAAGTTTGTAAACTCTGTTTTTGCCTCGTATTCTAAATCTCTGTGCACGTTTGCACACGTTTCAATGAATTGCCGCCTTAAAACAGTGTAACTTCTAATGGTCTGTAGTTGCACTGCAGTAGAATATCCTTGTACACTCCTATTGTACCGTTTACAATAGAAAGCACTGCTCTGATTTTATTACTGAGCCTCTATTGAAAGGTATCCTCTTGCAAAACGCCAACAAAGGGAGCCGAGTAATGATATCCGAGGCCCTCGTCTGAGATGGAGTCGACTGAGAAGGGGAGAAGGTATTACGACAGGAGCTGTACCACTAAATCATGAGTTTATGTGCCAGCGGCTAAAAAATAAGTTAAGAGTTATTTCTTATTATTTCTAAACACTCTGAGGCTCCAGCTTCTCGGATGTGAGGGCACTGAGTGGCTGCTGTTTGGGCAAACGCAGCAATTCAGAGATTCAGGAACATCTAGATTATAATCAAGTATCTTCAGCAGAGACTCTAAATTCTAAAGTTTGTGACAACTTTAAAAAGCATTTTTATGATCCGCTGATCAGCGACACTCCTCAGGGAACTACTTTATGAGCAGCACCTACCAAGCACAACCAAGACCGTCTTCATGAGCTTCATGGGCGTCCTCTTGCGGTTGATGGAGCTGGAGGTGTGTGGCATGAGCATCGCCGTCTTCTTTTTAACGTAGGCGTAGATTCTCAGGTAGATGGACACCATGATGAGGAACACCACCAGGTTAGAGACAGACCAGAAGATCAAGTAGCTCCTGCTGAAGATGGGAGCGAGCTTGGAGCACGTGTTCAGGTTGCAGATACAGTTCCAGCCCAGACTGGGCACAGCCCCCATGAAGATGGAAATGGCCCACACCAGCACGATAAGCAGCGTCACCCTCCTCTTCGTCAGGTTGCTATGAACTTTCCAGCTCATAACAGATATGTAGCGCTCCAGAGCTATGACGAGCAGGTTTGCCAGTGAAGCTGAGAGACTGATGTCCAGAAGACCTTGGCGGATGAAGTAACCAGTGACGGTAAGTTGCCGTGACACCTCGCCCGTGTTGAACATGAGGTACACGTACGCTATCCCTGCGAGGAAGTCCGAGGCAGCCAGGTTGGAAAGGAGATAGTAGAAAGGATAATGAAACCTTTTATTGGTAATGACAGCAGCTATGACCATGACATTGGAGACCAGGATGAAGCAGCAGAAGATGGAGCCCACAACCTGGACCAGGATGAGCTGAGTGGTGTCCCATTTATCATCACCGCCGCTCTGGTTGTAAAAGAACTTCATCGTCTCGTTGTAATGACAGGTGTTCTGCTCGGCCATTTTAAAAGGCGGGTCTGTGAAATGAGAAAACCAAGACGTTAAAAGCAGAACTTTTCATTATCCGTGTCAATACGATGGACTCTTAAACCTTTTGTCTCATGTTGCATCTATAAAAAAGCACAACTCATTAATATCATCTTCTACAAATTTGTTGTGATGAAATCTCTAGACTGACTGAGCTTTCTCTCTCCCCCTAAGCCAAGGAAGAGATTTATTCATCTGACTCCAAAACGCACACAGCACAGCCTGTTTACGGGAGCCGATTGTACAAAACTAAACTCACAGTAAACCCTCATTTCTAAAGCTGAAGGGCATGACCATGTATTAAGAAATCAGAGTGAAAATCATATGGACCCCAGCTGAAAGTTCCATGTATGCCAACATTTCTTAGGGTAAACGCTGCATACATGGTAATAAACCAGAGTTGACTGTAACACGGTGCAAGGTACACTTTTCTTCATGACTCCTTTGTTCACTCAAACTTTACAACCGGTCCGACTTGGAAACCAGTGGGCAGCAAAGCCAGGGGAGGAGATTCTAACAGCGGGACAGACAAATGATAAGCGCTCGGAGAAACCACAGAAAAACTAGTCGAAACTAATAAGAAGTTAACAAAAAAGGCAATTACAGGAGATCGAGCAGAAAAACAGCCAGGTGAGTTTACCTGTGGGAAATGTTTGTCCTTTGTGCGTCAGCAGACTTAAAGTTGCGAAATCCTCAGTTGGACTTAATGAACATGTTGCTCCTGTAGCGCTGTGCGTCCTCGGCTGAGGACGGAGGGAGGTGACTTCACTGCGCCGCTGTCAGGTCAGAGTGAGAGCAGAGCGTCTTCCTCCCCAGGTCTCAGC